TGCCTTTTTACATTTTATCATCTCATAACAAAAAGTAAATGACTAATTTAAAATGAAGTAACATATTCAATCAGTGCAAGTGAAGTCTAGCAACTCATTCTGAGTAATGTTAATTCACAGGTGATCATCAAGTACACATCACTTCACTGTAGTTCACGTAAATCCTTTGTTAACAACGTGTCCCACACTAACACACATTACTAAGAGGTAGAAAGATTTACAGAGCAATTTTATATCTTAATGAGATGTAAACCATCATGATACAGTAAAAGTGTAAGCAGCAGGATATTTAACAACATGTACACATAGCACATTAATCTAGCAAGCTAAGATTTACCTGATTTTCCCCACATAAAAACTTCGAGCACTTCTTGCTTACTAAAAGTTAACTTTTTTTTGGTGAAAACTATCTTCTGTTATGGCCACAAAAACATGATAAATGCTACATAAAATATCACAAAATCTTCAGCTGTGAAAGACAAAAAGAAATTTGAGCAAGCTGCTTCAACAACACCTTGCTCATTTAATACACAGCTCTCTCCAGCACGTACTTATCTCATGGAAAACATTCCCCATGGAAAGAACCGAGCTATTATAATAGCAACATGGTCACACGAATACATAATATCTATAAAAAACAACTGTTCTTAAAAGGACTCGTCACTTAGATGAAACAAACTCATCATTTTCTCTAATTCAGCACTCTGACCCAAACTGCTGACTTGTGAGCTAAGACTAAAAGTTGGCCCATTAAACAGTTAAGCCTCGTTATGAAAAGCTGCTTATACCATGCATCATTAACATTTCTATGAATATCATACCCGTACACTATATAGCTTTACTGCATCTTTACTTATTCAAAGACTTTATGCCGCTGTTCCTCACAATGAGCAGTATCTTGTTGATTAGACCTACTGGCATCAAGGTTTGTTGTGAATAAAATATCACTTAAGCCCAAGTAAACCTGACAGAATTAGGGTTAAAAATACTGCTTTAATTTTGCCATCTGCTGCATTCCTCTTAAAAATAATGTAAACATGTAAAAGAACTGCCTATAGTCCAATAGTATTCATCGAAAATTAAAATCCACTACAATCCCTGAGTGTGAAATATATATTAAAGTTTAATATAAAAGCTGGAGTTTGAATAAAAACTAGTTTGCTTTTTGTAAAATTTATATCCAGTCAGAGCTTTAACACTTGCATTTCAAAGGCTGAAGTGGAAAAATACAAACCAAAACATTTACAAGTACTTCCCAGAAATACATTTCTCTAAGATCCACTGATATAAAAGACGCATACTTTTGGTTTTCAGAATTTACCATGAGACAACAAAAATAGACAACAAAATAACTGAAAACAAAGATCAAAAAAAGCAACCCTATACAAATTCCTAGTCACGGAAAAGATGACTTTCAAAAGTGTTTATGGGTGTGGGGTTTTTTTTAAGCAAGAAGAAATGTAGCATAAAAACCCTAAACATCTCTCATGCATGGAAAACACCTTAGTCCTGAAGCATACATAACAGGGTAAATTTGGAATAATGTAATATTCAATGTATTAAGTCTAGTTAAAAGTTATTTGCAATATACCTGATTCAACACAAAACAAAACTCAAGGGCAGTTTTTTCTCATCACTTCATGGAACATTACATCAATAACCAGCACAGATTGATCATGGAACTGAAGACCCCCAGGACCAACAGTCAGATATGGATCTCAAATTCCCATATGGCACCAGTGACAAAGAAACAAGATCAGCTTTTGAATTTGAAAACAGATGTACTTCAACAGTGAAAAACAAAGCATAAATATGTACTTACAGAAGAAAAAACACTGCTAAAATTACTTTTTTTAAATCTCAGAGTGATGACCAAAGCATCTTATTTTCTTTGAAACATCTTCTACTTGTATTTTCATTGGCAAGGAGTTTTTAAAACATTTACGTCAGGGCAGAAAACTATGCCCACACAACAACTTTCAAACCAGACTTGGTGCTAAGTTCATTTCGCATTATTTTATACATTCATTTATCTACCTTATGAGCTATCATTTATTTACATTATCTACAACCAGCAGCAAGTGTGTAAGACTAACTCCTATATCTGCATTACATGTGTACACATATTTAAATACATTAAATAACTGTGTTGTTTTATCGAACAGTAAAATATACTAGGAACAGGATAAAATATCACTGCAACATAAAGCAAATACACTATTTGGCCACAAGAATTAGCTTCTAATTCTGCAGGTCTCATCTTATACATAGAAATAAGCAAACTGATTAGTAGCAGGGATTTATAAGGACTGTTTCTTCCTCCTGTTCCCTTCTCACTCCCACCTCAATGGCACTTTTGCTTCCCTAGCTTATGCTGTAACAGACACATACACTAATAAACTTGTAAGTCTTTCCATTTGATACACTTGAGTATCTCTTCTTGGCATAGCATGGCACTGTCATTCTGCCTTGGCCCATAAGGAAATAATTTGTTGGCTGCCAGGACCGGCATGCTATGTGCTGCTTACAAGGGTATATGGGTAAATAAGAATAATGGTATCATTCAGCAAATGAGTTTGGCGACCTCCAACTTACAGAGCATCCCTCCCTCTTCTACATGGGAACTTGGAGTACTACTAGAGTATTCTAGCGTTAAGTTAGATTTTGATTATTCATATTTGACTTCTAGTGTATCAATCACTTTTCTTAAGTAAAATTATGACTGTCAGCATTTACTGTTGTTAGGATCCCTTTCTAGATGCCATTAAGGCTAATTCCAAACAAAATAGAATGGAATTATTTAGTACAAAAAGTTTCCATTATTTATCCCTTTCATCAATCATTTAAAGACTTCATGTCAGCAACTGAAAACATTCATGTGGATCTTACAAAGAGCAGCCAATACATTATGCATGCTGCCCACTGATTTATCCTTTCAGGAAGTCTCTTGCAGGCTACTTACCAATACTGCCACTCACTGTCTAAAATATAAATAGAATTGCTTCTAGAATATATAAATAAATAATAATTGCCTATGGTTCAAACCAGCAGGCTGTTAAAACCAATATCCTGTGTAAGATCAGCTCTACCAGATGCTTCAGAGAAATATATTCTTGAGTGGACTACTCTGAAGCAGTACATCCATTATTGAAGAGTCTTCCTCAACTCTTTCTTAGGCTGGCTTATCTATGGAAGTATTTCGCTTTTGTCATGCTTAAACAAAATCTCCACACAAATAACTATTGACTTTTTTTTAAAATCCTATTTGGTCTTCAATCAGGATCATTTTGTAGCAACAAGCCTTACAACATGGCCTTTTTAGAAAGTCAAGGACAAACTGCACATCACATACTTCCATGAAATGCTGCAACAGGTTGACCAGACAAGCTGTGGATCCCCATCATTGGAAGTGTTCAAGGTCAGGCTGGACAGGACTTTGAGCATCTAGTGAAAGATGTCCCTGCCCACGGCAGGGGGGTTGGACTAGATGACCTTTAAAGGTCCCTTCCAACCCAAACCATTCTATGATTCTGAAGTCTTTGACTTGCCAGACTAAGACCACTAGCAAGGTTTGCCTACAAAATAGACAGCAGTTAGTTTCTGAAGATCAGAACTCCTCAGGTTTGGTTCTAGGGCAAATTCCTATTTCAAGATAGCAGCTTCATATGTACAAGCAATGTCAACAATTTCCACAGGATTATCCTTTTTCAAATTATTCATGAATAAGCACTTACAGAGTCAAGATCTTAGCCATTTACAAGAATAATTTTTGCTTGCATTTCTTAACAAGTTATGGAAAAGGCAGAATGAATTTTAAATTGCTCTAAGGGCAATTTTATTGCCACTATAATAACCCTGCTTAAATAACAGCCAGTTATTTTCCAATGAATGGTGCAAATAATTATTTTGTTAGACAATTATCAGGATGATGACTATTGCATTTTATGGTCAAAAAAAAAAAAAAAAAGGCTATAAAAACCCCACCCAAACCAAAATCCAACTTAATCAAAACTCTCCAGCAGCAACAGCTTGTACTGCACTATTTCACTGGCTTTGCTCCAGTAGCTAAAATTTAAGAGTCAGCTTTATGTAGAAATGCAGTAAATGAAAACTGGGAAAAAAATCCCACACCTACAGCTGTCACCTAAAATTAAACACAACATTTTTCTCCAAATCCCAAGTGAACTTTCAAAAAGGTGCCATGTGATCATACTTAGCTACTGCACTGCAGTTAAGAGCATGTTTAAACTACAACAGATAAACTAAATTCTTTCATTCAAACATGTTAAAAAAATTAACAAAGGTGAAAACCAGGTATAGTTATCTACAAGTCTCAAAACAGTCATTATTTATTTCACATTAAGAACAATCTATAACTTAGGAACATTTTCTTTTTGCCCCTCTTGTAATTTGCAACATAGGGAAAAAGAAATAAAGAACATATATTTTTGAGGGGGAAAACCTCACTCTAAAATAGGCAGACTGGTGTTAGAATAATTCTATGTAGAGAGATGTGCGCTATTGGAATAGTACCAAGCTGGCTTGTGCAAAACAGTAGGTGTTCTTAACCATCTCCATGGAGATTGATTAAATGGCTCCAATCCAGTTTAAATTGCTTATCATTTTACTGAGATGCTCAGCAAACATGACAACAATATTCCATGCCTGTAGCAATATATTAATTTTTTTTAAATAGAACTGAGTCAAATTTTAAAGTTGCTATAACACATAAAGAACCAAAAATGCTTTAAAGAAAAAAAAGTAGTTACAAAGATGTATATTCATAATGTCACATACCACTCCTCATTAAAAAGGTCCCGCATTAAGCAAATGTACTTATTTCAACAATCAGGATGAGGCAGTAAGATTAGATAACTGAATGGTATTCTTGAAAGTTTACTTTTAATGGTATTAACATAGTTATATAGAAGGGGATTAACTATTTTTGGCACATAAAAATAAACAGCATGCAAGAAAGTAAACAATAAAAATATACTCACGAAATCAAAGTCTCCATCTTGAGGGACTTTCCAGTTATCAGGGAAAACATTTTTGGATATGTGGTAAGGTTCATGCATGTTCTGATTGCAGTTTTCAGGGCTTTTATTCTTGGAATCTTGTTTATCAAAGTAGTCCATGAAAGAAGGTCTTTGAACTTGCGGTGAAGTAGCATTTCCTTAGTTGAAAGAAAAAAGAAAAAGTTAAAACTATTTAAAAATTAAAGATTTACTGCACTATGAAATAAACTCCATGTATTAATTTTCTTGGATTTTACAGAAACTAACATGGTCATCTGTATGTGGTGCAAGCCTCCATTTGTCCCCTGAGGATCTTTGGCATAAAAGATCATAGCCGAAGAATGATATTTTTGTAGCAAGATACAATGTGGAGAAATGTTCAAGACATTTCAGAGTTTCACACACAAATAATATTAGAAGTTACTTCATGCGGTATCTATTTGTTGTTATAGAGACTGAATAACACAAGGTGCTAAACATCCTCTTGGGTGCTGAATGTCCCTAACTTCCTACAGGCACTTGTAGGAAAGCAACAGAGTTCCATCAGTTTCACCAAAGGTGCGATTTAAAAATTATTTAGAAAAAGAAGTTGCAAAAAAACAACCGCACAAACTGGTCTAGACACTGCTTAATTACATTCATTGCCAATGAGGATTCTCAGCAAATTATGGGATCACACTCTACAGATGGCTGCAAAGCACCCCATCTCCGTGGTGTGGAAACCCTGGGGGATTTTTGTCATCATCTACGCAGCTGCAAAAGCTTTACAAAGCAGATTGAGATCAGCGTGAACTCCGTTCTATTATGCTTTCCATGAAAATAAATGTAAAAAAAATTATCAACAACCCTGAATGACTGACGTTTGTTTTCATTTGTGGTATTTCAAAGCGAATTCATTACTAAATAGAACAATAAATAAAACATAAGAAACACTTTAGTAGTGCTACATAACTGTCACCTCAGAGACTATATTCTGCATAGCATTGACTCATGAAACGTGTACTTGCTTGCAGTGTAACATTCTACACACAGAAATATGAAATACATTTCCGCAAGTAAAACATGAAACAGGATGAGAGATATAAATAACCAAAGGAGGGGGAGGGACCAAAACAAAATAACAACCCACAGGTAGAACTATACTTTTTAATTACAAGCAAAAATATAATTATGAATTTTTATTTGAACTACTTGTTTTAAAAAGTGAAAAGGTAAACCACTGGAAATTCTTTTGAACTTGTATTTAACATGATCACTAGGACTTGCTGATCTTATCTGGCTTTACAATTGTTTTTATTAATTTATTAAGTGTTTTTTCCTCCCTCCTCCTCTTATTTCATCATCTCTTACCATTCCCTCTAATGATTTTTTTATTTCATTCCAATTTTGCTGCATGGTTAATAGTGGCCTATTTTTTCCATTAATGCTTACTTTTGTACTGCCATCTTTTATAGCATGTTTATTTTCTTGTTCTTTTCTTTCTGCTTTTTCTACATTATTCTGTTCTAGTAAGATTTCTTTAGGCTTTTTTAATGTGTTCTTTTACTATCTTGCTCTAGGCTTTATCGCACTTGACTCCAGCTGCTTCTCTTCAGCTCCAGGATGATTTCTCCATTCAGTCTGCCATGTTTCCACACACCCTTTCTCGTCCTCACTTTTTTTTTTTAGCTGATTTTTCTCCCAGTTGTTGCCATGTTCTTTTCTAATATTCTTTTCTAATCTCAGATCATAGTTATCTCTACTCATCATCTTTTAATTAATGACAACCATGACCATAACAAAAACATTCAGTGAACTAAACTCCAGGTTGAATTAACTGACCACATAGCAGATACCCCTTCTCCAGAATCTTCCATGTTTGCCCCCACTGAACTCAAGATCACTTGAATGAGGTTTCTGGATCTCTCTGAGTCTGGGACTGGGGAATGGATGAGAAGTAAACAGCAGTGATGCCAAATAACTACAAGAAATAAGCACTAAAGGGTAAAAAAGGAAGAATCTAAACTTTACCAAAGCATAAATTTAGAAATCAGATCCAAGAGAAGGTAGTAGTATGAAGGAGGTGGAATTAAAAGCAGAAATACAATGCATTTTCTTAATACAAACTTTTTATTACTTGCTGAACGCTGCCCAAAACCCCTGAAACTATTTGTACCAAAAAGATAGAACATCACGTTGCTGGCCTTTCACAACCAATTTTTTTCTTCTGCTGAGATGGTTGTACTTAGGTTTCATCCTTGAAACTTACTTATAAACAAGAAGATTACCAGTGTCTCTGTTAGCAACTCTGAGTACCAAATGTTGGCCTGTTACAGGTAAGATAGCCTCCCTCCTTTCATGTAACAGAAAATACTAAATATTTTCCATGCACTGCTCTTAACTTTTAGAGCTATTTATAAATATCTTCCTTATATATGTAATAGAAAACCGCCTACATACATAAAACAAACCAATCCCTCCAAATTCCTTGCTATCTAATGCATATTAAGGAAAGTGGGTCAACAGGACTGAAAGTACTCCAAAAGGAGCAAAGCACATCTATTCCACACTTTGAGGACTTGTTCTATTTGTTTTGATAAATAAGAATTTAGAAGTCACTTCTGATTTCAATTTAGTATACAGTTAGTTAACCCATTTAAAAGAACAAGAGCTGCTTACCTTCACTGAAAATATAAAAACTCACACACAAACCCAGAAATACCATGCCTGCAAAATGATGGGACCAGGACTAGAGGTGTTTCAAGGTTTGTTTGGTTTTCCCCCCAACATAAAAAAAAAAAAATATTTATTTAAAGATCTATTTTTAAGGTTTTATTTTATTTTATAAGTAATTAAATGAAAAAAAGAGACAGCAAGAAATTTAAAAGTACAATACATAAAGATTCCTTTAAGAACAATTAATTCACTCAACTATCCAGTAAGTTACTTTTTATACAAGCTATATATTTGCTACAAAAACCCTGCAGCACAAATAGTATCACTCCACATTTGCACTGAAAACCTATTGTGCAACAGACTGTTCCATTCTAGGAGGATTTGGATTTTCCAGTTGTTCTCATTTTATTTTGCTCTTCAACAAGAGATGATCATGTTTAAAAATGCTTGCCACAGTTTCAACATTAAAGAGTATTCATCTCTTTTATCATCCCTATACTTGCCCACTGCAGGACTTCCCGATGGCTTTGGGCAGAAACCCGCAATAAAATCAGCAGACTGAGAAGCTGCTGGCAAGCCATGGAACACAGAGACCAACATGGACACTGAAAACATACGTTCTACCTCAGCAATGCCCCTGATAGGAATACAGCCAATGGGAATGTCCTCAAATAGTTACAAAAGCTAATTTCTTCCAAAAAATATGCTGGATAAAATGAACGAGGCAATGACATAACACCAACTTTACTACACTGTTTCAAAACCATATCATAACTAAAATAAGTAATTCTAAACACACATTTCAAAATAAGAAGGAATGCACATTCCGTTCTAATGCATGTTTTTATCAAATTCAATTGATGTCATCTATATAGAAAAATGCTTTTGCAATGATGTATTTCCAACAGAAAAGTATTACATTAAATTGATTTTAAATAGGTTAAAAAGTTCTGTTGTTAGTTGTTAAATTTTTATACTCTATGTTGGGCTGAGCCACGTGTACATTCCCCCCATACTGGTCTGGCTAACTCAGGGCCAGCATGTTGGCAAAAAAACCCCACTCTTGCCTAACTTTGTCAGGTGGAACTCCTCTCTCCACGGTAGTCCCTGATCCTCAAAGAGGGCCCCGTGGTGATAAAAGTCAAACCTCTGTCAACAGCACTAGAGGCACAACCAAGTGTTGACTCATAGGATCCATCCACTCCTCTGAGGCTTTCCCTTCACCATCATGACGAAGAACATCCTCATAACCCTAGAGTTACTCTTAAGGTCACCCTCAAGGTCTCCTCTGGCAGTATCACTGGCACATGCCCATGTGGATGGGCAGCAGGAGATAATACTCTAAGCACTGGACAAGCCCTGGCAGTCTTTCAATGTTGTAGTGCTGGGCCCTGGGCAAGAAATAACTTTTCCTAGATAGCAAGTCAGATCAGCAGATCCACCTCCTGCAGAAGGGAGTCTCCCACTACAATGTCCTGGGAGGGGCAGGTGGTGGTGGTGGCAGTGGCCTTTTGTCTCTTTGTGGTTTTATGGGGTTTTTTTACCATTTCCTATGGGAAGTCTCTAAGTCTTTCTCACTCCACTACTACCAGGGCACAAGACCTATTCCATAGTTGCAAATTACAGAAGAAAGCTTTCCTCCTTTTGCCAAAAGCCAAAAGCAACAAGCTTCCACAGCCTTCCCCATCCTGGAGATCTTTGTATGCCATTTGCCTGAGGAACATTTCCAGCTGCTGCCTCTTCAGTGAAGTTAGGGGTCAAGCTCTCCTGTCTGCACTGCTTCTGTGCAGTAGAAGATCCTGTCAGTATCTTTATTTCCTGTCAGTATCTTTATTTCCTCAAAATATATTGCTTTGTCACTATTAGAGTGAGAAGTTTTATTGCAGTCAGCTTTTAGCCTTCTTTGGACTATCACCTCTACTAACAGGCTACAACAGCTTATACAATAACATAAACTACTTAGGCTTTGTATTTCGTACATTCCTACCACTACTTTCTCACCATACAAGGTGGCCTACAATATAGTGCCAGTAATTCTCCCGGAAAATGGGAGACAGGAGCTTTGAATACAATAAGGTTGAAGACAGCCTGGAATTTTAACCTCAACCTCCAATCAAATGCTTCTAACTGTGAACCACCATGTAGAAAGCTGCCACAGCCACCTTCAGTCACATATTAAACAGGAATTGTTACTACATTTTGAGCATGTGAGTTCTGCTGCTAATACATGCCTACACGCCTTGTTTAGCCTGGAGAAAAGAAGGCTGAGAGGAGACCTTACCACCCACTACAACTACCTGAAAGGAGACTGTAGTGAGGTGGGTGTTGGTCTCTTCTCCCAGGTAACGGGCAAAAGGATGAGGGGAAATAGCCTTAAGTTGCACCAGGGGAGGTTTTAGGTTGGACATTAGGAAAAATTCCTTCACCAAAAGGGTTGTTAAGCATTGGAATGGGCTGCCCGGGGAAGCGGTCAAGTCTCTGGAGGTATTTAAAAGATGGGTAGATGAGGTGCTTAGGGACACGGTTTAGTGGTGGAATGGCAGGGTTAAGTTAATGGTTGGAACTGATGATCTTAAAGGCCTTTTCCAACTTAAACGATTCTATGATTCTATTAGACAACCATCTCAGGGGAATGAGAGGTTAGTCTACTTAGTTTCTGAATCGCAAGGAAGTACAGCAGAAACTAGATCGCCAGTTCCTTAGGCCAGAGCAGCTGGGAATCTACCAAAGGATGCATCCAAGAAATGTTTTGCTACAGAGAGCTGTGTAACAAAGTGGTTACTGAGTTTGCAGTTTTCACATCACAGTGACTTATGCACCCAAGCCTTCATTCAAATTCAGGCCTCATTCAGTATTTTGTTTGTTTTATAATAGAACTATTTATCAGAAATGATCACAACTGGCATTTAAATGGAAAAACCACATATTTTTCAATGAGCTGAAGCCTTCACAAATTTTTTGAAGGACTATGACCTCAAGTTTAAAGGCTTTTTAATGGGGAAAAGAGTTTCCTGTACAAAACATCGCTTTACTTCCTGAGAATGAGACTTGTAAAACTGGCTTAATAACTTTTGTTCTATTTTTCCACTTTCTGGAGAAGAAGAAAAAATACTCAATGACACTACTATTATAAACCCATTAGTTCATTCCAGCTGAGTTATACTTTATTTCTGCTTTCAGCAAAACCAATAAAATCCATGTTGAGCTAGCATGTTGCAACAGCTCTTGAAGCAGAATTGCCAACATGATATTTTTCTTTGAAAAAAATTCCCATTTGTAAAAGACACTACTACTAGTGGCAGAAGTAAACAATGTTATTACCAATCATAGGAGAAGGCTTGAGGACTGGAAGGCTTGGATCTATATATCTATCTTGGATATATAGATATCTTTCTACATATACAGGAGTAAAGTACTAGTACACTGGCATCGAGCAAAGTATCTTAACGTGGGCACTGTAAACATTCTTGAACAAAACCACATTCATGAAATATCAATGCCTGTGTTACAGCACCACTGGAATCAGCCCATAATTAAGCTTCCTTGCTGAATTCTTATAGGACCTGGATCATAGGTTGTTATAAAACACATAACAATATCTTTTGCTTTTCAGTTGAAAAAACAGCTGTAGGACTTAGGCCTTTCTAAGAGTTATGAAGCGTCATTCCAGAGCTACCCAAGCATCCACCTCCTACTACAGAGGAGACTGACTTACTGTACAGCACAATCTCTTACACTGGATGGACTGAAAGCACTAAAAATTAATAAATAAATAAAGCCAGCTCATTAATTCTCCTTTCAAAATGTAGGTTCTACAGCGTGGTGCGTGTCCTGCTGCAATCAAGGATCCCATAATACAATAACACAAGGAAGTTCAGCGATTATATGCTGGAACCAAACCCATCACTTGCCAGCTGAATGATGAAACCATCACTTGCCATCAGGCTACCTCCAGTTTGCTGGCTTTCTTTTGCTGGTGTTATAGGTCTCAAGACAGTCACCTGTGGGGGAGGAGGGAGAGGAAGGAAGCGTGCTGTCCCAAAGTTTGTATTCTTCTGTTTGATAAGAAGGAAGAACATTTAAGAATTATACTGTCTAAACCTATACCATTTCATGTCTTATAGGGCAAAAAGTAATAAAACAAAAACCTGACATTTCTACATTCTATCTGTCAAATGCTACTTCATTAGTTCACTGTCCTCTTCTTTTAATGTATTCATTACCAACTACGAACTATCTAGACACTTCACTGAAGTATGAAGCAACAGTTAGAAACAGAGTAAGTCCAAATGGCAAGAAGAGGCAACGTGTTTGCCAGCCCAAAGCAGATGGCAAATATAAATTTAACAGGGAAAAGAAAGGAGGGGGGGGGAGGGAAAGGGGTGTTAATGAAAAGGAGAAAGGAGAACAATCAGAAATACTCTTCGTGAACCAGAAAGCCCTAACACTAAGCCTTGCCAAAAAGCCACAAAGGGAATGTGGGGAAGCTGGTCTGAACACTAGTCTCTGAATTGAGATATGAAAAAGCTTCTAGATGCAAGTAAGTACAATCTGAACAGCTGAACAAAAACAGTGCTACCTTCCATCAATCCAACTCTTTCTTCCAATCCACATTAAACCTCCTAAAGTTAATCTCTGTCCTCCCACCTCTCTTTATTCTGCATTTTCTTCCCTCCTAGGTACGTACCACATAGTCTCTGCTCAGAGTATGCACAGGCATACTAAGCAAGAAGGCATAAATGTGGTTTATTGCTAGGCTGTATATTCTATGTTAGGGTAGTATGACAGCCCTTTTTTTGTTCCAAATCCCAATTTTATCTGGGCACAATTCCCTGTTTGTGAAAAAAATATGGTTTTAGTTACTTTCTGTCCCAGCTCCCAGAGGCCTCTAAGCATGGGCACTTATAAATAAAAACTTATTATTGTTTCTTATTTTGTCCTTGAGCAGGGAAACAAAAGGCAGAAGGAAACAAAATGTGAAATTAAACACAAGAGCAATTAAAAAAAAAAGTTTGCCATAAATATTTTGTGTCTCTAGTAAGGAAATGAAATCACTCTTCCCTAGTTAACTAAGTTTATTTCTCCAAGCTTCCTGCTTGCAATGTTCTATTATTCAAAATTATCAGAGTACTTTTAAGCTACCTGTTCTGATTTATTATAATCAAATCACACAAACATCGAGAAAGTACCCACCTTGCCCAAAAAGGTACATTGGGAAAAGTCTCCAAAATCTTGTGCCTTTGTTAAGCACAACAAAGCACAAAATCTATGTCTGCCTCTCAGGGAGAGCAAGGATTTGTATGCCCCTTCCTGATGACATTTATTTAGGACACTTGCTATCGCTCCTGTTTCAGCCAATAACACACGAATCACAGAACCACAGGAGGACCAGCTACAACGGACATGATTTATTTTCAGCTCAGAGATGTGGAGGTCCCATTCTTGAATTAAATCTAGTTTTTAATCAACGGGTCTAATGCAAAACACAAGAAAGTTCAGCAAATAAGTACTGGAACCAAACCTGTCACTTGCCAGCTGAACGATGAAACTACCGCTTGCCATCAGGCTACCTCCAGTTTTCTAGCTTTCCTTCACTGGTGTCACATGTCTCAAGACAGTCACCTATGGGGGAAGGGAGGGGAAGGAAACCTGATATCTCAAAGATTACGTATTTTTATTAGACAAGAGGGAAGAATGGGTTTAAGAATTATACTGGCTATGCCAAGGTGTAGAAAGGTAATTCACTTTCTAACTACAGATTCTTACTGGAATCAATTAAAAATAAAAAATGACAGCACATTTTAAAAACAATGTCTCCAGCAACATAGCAGACAAATAGAACATGGTTAAGAGATTGCACCACAAACCTAATGACACTTTTTGATCGGTTTGGCATATTAACAGGTATTTCCTCTCAGCACACATAAAAACTACATGTATAGTTTTTAAGCCTGAAGTAATTTGAAAGGTCGCACAACTCCCTTCTTCATAATACTTCCACCCTAAGAATTACTTCATTATCCTTTACTCCAAATCTGCTTGCAATATCTTTCTCTCTTTTTTGCACCATCTTTTCCTTAACTTGTTGAAATTGATGAGTTTGAGATCGCTTGTACTAACCCTCCATTAGCCTCACAGCTTAATAGGCAAATATTCTGCTTCAGCATGAAAACAAATTATAGCACATACTGAGTGTTTTCATGAGGTGAATCACTCTACTTAAATTAATCACTAATCAACAGGTGTTTGCTATCTTATTGCTGAAAATGCTAAGAAAAAATACCCCAAACCAACAAAACGAACCACAAAAAACCCCAACAACAACAAAATCAACAAAACCCCTCCTGACCTTCCAATTTGGTGTACATTAAACTGCAAAGAAAACATATTCCTACTAATTTCCAACTAATCTTGTACAAATTACATCAGGTGAATATGTGCAAATACAAATGCAACTTTATGTTTGCTGTAAAGCATTTAACGAAGTTATTCATTTGGCACTGATTTCCACTCTTGAGACATTAGCTTTATTTATTACCATGCCCCCCCAAAACAGTTGCCTGGAGTTAAACATTACATTGTGTCCCATGACATCAGGCACCTACAGCTTGAGTTAGATTAATCTATTAATGCTGCCCATTCAAGCAAATAATTCTATTAACTTCAGCGGGCCTCATTCTACAGTAGTCTTCAGCCAAATAATGAGCACATCAATATGTAGGTACGTAAGTTAACTATTTAACAGATGTATATTTATGCATACTTCAGTGTAACTTATAATTTTATACTTTAAACCATTTGCAATTTTTTTTCCTTTTTGTTATGTACTCCCTCACATGCTGCTGAAGTCAACTTGGACTTTGTACTTCAGTTTCAATGATCTTTTGATCATTGCCTTAAATCAAGCATTACTGAATTACATTCTAACATATGTTCAAATAATAACACTCAGTTATGAAATAAAAATCTGCTAATTGATCATGAGTTACAAAACTATTTTGCAGCAGGATGTGTACTGACTACTGAACGCATGGAGAGTCATGATGAGTTCCCAGGACCACTGACATTGAAGCAGCAGCTTCTCACATAATCACATCACTTCAGTTTAGCTCCAAGAACTGGTCCAAATGTATGTGAGACGGGAGACAAAAAGCAAGAGACAAGCAGTGGAAGGGAGAATTCACAGAAGGCTGATTTTAGAGTCCTCCAGAGAGGCTTAGCAAAGCACCAAAACCAGGCTTCTGCTTTGAATCTCCCACTATAGTCAGCTTTTTCTCCACAAAATACAGAGAGCATTTAGAGACACAAATACCCCTCTCCTGTTTTAGCCACAGAACTTGGCACTTAGAAGCTGCTGCTGATACAAGGTTCTCATGCAGCATGAGAAAATATATTACATTATTAAAAGAAAAGTAAATTAACAACATACTTTTCATGGTCCCATCTTCCTCTTCATCGTCATCACTATTTATTACCATGGTCCCCAAGTCTGATTCTAACATAGTACTGTTATGTTCAATCATTGTCTGAGCGCCTTCACTCATAGTGCTTGTGGCCCTCATGGTACCAGCACTCTCCGAACTGGTCTTCACCATGGTGTGAGAGTCCAGTTCATCTTCATCCTACAAAGAAACATTTGTCAGAATGCAGCATAACATTTAAAAAAAAAAAAAACAAAAAAACAAAGTTAAGAAGCAATCATTTAGATGCTTATTCATTAGTTTTATATCTTCACGTGACCCAGCTGTACTGCTAGACTTCCAGCTTTAAAGTTTTAAAAGAGATTATAAAATAAAAGATGATCCATATAAAGGAAGAATAAAAACTTTCTTCTTTCCCACAGATGGGTATACCAGAAATGTGGCCCACACACCCACTTTGCATGAGCAGCCAGTTTTGAGTATCTCAGTGATTTTCATAACCCAGTATATCTCCTTGGGTTCCAAAATTAGTAACACATTTTATAGAAAGTCATGTGGTTGTTTTGCAATGGACTATCACCATGGATTTGTGCTGATCACCCTTAATTAACTATCATGCCCAGCATCTTAGAGTATGCACAGCGCCCAGATCACAGACACACATTCAATTTAGGTATTAAACAATCCTCCGAAATAGTTCTAGAAGGGCACCTCAGAAACAGAAAATCAACTTGGCTTACTTCAAGTATTTAGTTCTCTTTAAAGACCTCTGTCACAAGAGTGAGCAAAATAACTTGATACTATGTAGAAAAATACCTGTAGAGCACATAATTAACCACTACATGGGTTGGGAAGCTACTATCATGAAGCAATAAAACAGCATTTTGAATCAGTGACAATAATGGGCCAAGAACATGGAACAGAGCTACCGACAATCTAGTTAATGAATTATAAAATTCGTATGGACTACCAATATTTGAAAACATTAATGGGAAATCCCACTCCTTTCCAAAGTCTGATTTAGACTATATGGACAACATCACAGCACTTCAGGAACAATGTGATGGACTATATACATTTTCTATAGAAGTAAAATCTATTACCCATGGGAAGAAAAAAACTAACAAATGAACCAACCAACCAAAAAACAACCCAAAATAAAAAAAAAAACACCCAACCCCCAAAACTCTACAAGGTTTGGCACTTTCTATTTCTTATTGAACTCGTCCCTTTCCTTTCCTGCTATTCCCTGACACAGCAGACAATTTGCCTCTAGTATAGACATAAGTGCACGAGCCAGCTACATTGCCCAAGTGCCTGTTTCTCTAATGGCTGGTCTAAGCAGATATCGAGAACTGTAGTTAGTAGCAATACCAGTGCACCAGCCCCTGAAAATTAGTTTATTACATCTCAACCGAGAGAGACAAAAATAGATCTAATCTTGATTCAGAGAGTCTGGCTAAAAGCATAACGTACCAATACCAGGATACAGATCTAAATCTGCGATTAAAGTTTTAAATGTCAAAAGAATCATTCTTTTCCAGATTAAAATTTGTAAAAATATTGAAGTTCTTAATTTGAGTTCTGAGTTTTTTTAGTTGCATTCTAAAACACTGTATTTAGCAACCTACCCTTAAAAAAATTATGATATTCCCAAAGTTACAGATAGTTTACAGCTACAGCACTAGAGGACTGTGCCAGTAAATAAATGAGAATATTTTAGTACTGCTCCTCCTGGTGGCAACTTCCTGGTGGCGACTTTAACTTTCTTTATTCCCACCCCTCACCCCCCAGCATTCTTGCTAACCCCAGTGGTTTTTACAAGTTCTATTTCTCCCTTTCTAACAAGGGTAGTCAGAAAGTAAAGTCCAAAAGTGTATTTTTGCACTGCATTTTAAAAGTGTCAGAACAATTAAGTTGTTATTTCCAAGTGCTACAATACAAAATAAAAATGACTCACAATGTTCTGCTACTTCTCCTATTAAGCACCAGAAATGTGGTGTCCCTAATGTACAGGCAGGCAAATCTCTGAGCTTAAGGCACAATTACATTTGATTTACAGATTTGTTTGACTAATATTAATATCCACTTGCAGTGCACATGGTCCTAAACTTACTAAAACTGCAATCAGGAATGAAACAAACATTTTCCTGAGTTAGTTAGGTTCCCGAGTTTTATTTTAGAAGTTAGTGAAAAAAAAAGTGGTGGCTAACAATAGGACCAAGTATGAAAAGGAGCCCTGACTGACCATTTTCATATCTTCTGCTTCATTAAAAACAATAATATTTTATTTCTTCAGTCAGATCAAGTATCTGGATTTGTTCCAAAGAATAGCATTTCATTTTCCAGTCTAAGAATGTCAAAAGCCTTTACCTTACTCTTGTCTCTCAGCGAAGAGAACTGTTATCTTCTAGTACCTAGAAGATTGAGAATCACAAAAGCCCACCTCGGTACTAACAGAATAGTTGTCCCAAAAAGGGAAGTACACAACAATTTTGATCAACAGTGTTTTCCTCAGATCAGGAATGATGTACTGAGAGAGCACAATATAAAGTATTTTCAGGGCCTGTGCATGCCCCAAAGTAGTTAGTCTTGTGGGTTAAACCAGATTGCTTCCAGAACTATCATTCCAGTATTTCTCACAAATATGAGATTTAGCTAATATAGCAGTAGACTACACTGGATCGCAAAAAGTAACTTTATAAAAATATCCAGTGGATCCAAGTTGCACATTTAAGTAATGTAAGTGCACATTTACACGAGAGATGAAAGTGATTCCTTTGTACTAATTCCGAGTCATGCTTTACAGTTTGTAAATATTGATGTAGAACTTCTGATCTGTTGTTAAAAAAGGTAAACTCACTGATTAAATAAAAACAAACACAATCTCAATTTTAACCAGGAAAAAAAGTATAAGGTATTAAAGCTGAAGTGTCATGTTCTCATACTGTTTATGAAAACAGATCCAAGAATCAAGCAATAAAACCAGCTAACTCTGGAATTAAACTGTCTGCCATTCTCTTGCGTACATGTAATAAGCACCAAACTTGTATTTGACAGGGGTTTGATACACCAGTAGAGAGCAACAGAAAGAGTGCCCGAGCAAGAGCACTAGTATCTCTTGAAATGCTACAGAAAATACAATAAACTACAGAAACCCTGAATAACATCACAGCATAAAGTAAGTACAAGTAAAACATTGCCAACACCCTGCAACCCTATGGGATTAACTGTTTGGATCTCCTTATTTGCCAAAATAAGTTAGAAGAATAACAAAACCAACCCTTAAAGCATGCAAGTGCAATCATAGAGACCTGATTATCAGGACAGCCAATTCAAAAAGACTTCAGCAGAAACAACATGCAAGGCTTCACAATATGCTTGCAACACAGAAGCTCTCATCATCACAGGAGAAGTTTTCTCTAAAAAGACGGCCTTGCACATCATACCTGAGTCTACATCATGATAGAAGCGAATGAGCTGAGATGATAAAGATTAATGGATTTTTCTGTCGAATTTTAATGTTCGTAGGAAAAAAAGGGGATGAAGACTGATAAAGAAAAAAACTAAACAAGACAAGCAAATGTGGCAGCTTACCTTCAAAATCTCTAACTATGGTTTCTGCATGTAAAAAGAACACTAGAGGGCACCAGAGACAGCTAACTAGGCTGTAATACATTAAAGGAAGATTTACACGCTGGCAAAATTTAGTATCCTGTAAAATAATTTCATTTACTATTAACACCTCATCATCACCTTTGAAAAACGTGGCTGTAGTCACAGCTATCTTTTTGTAAAAGCACTGTAGTAGCTACATAAACACATAATAGAGTTTGGTCAAGAACAACGATTTTGTAAAAGTTCCTAACATGTACAGAGCCCAACTACAACCTGAGTATATGCTTAATACTGAGCACACACTTAAGCCTAGACCCATCAGCAAAACAGGTGAAGACTTAACTTTCAGCACACACTCAAATCCTGTCAAATTCAATAGACGCATGTCATGCTACAGAGTTTAAGCTTGTTTTCTACCTCCTTCTCGTTGATAGAACCTAGTAACAATGACTTGCTGCTCACAATTGCCTCCCTATGTTTACTCTTCCTAGAATCGGTTTCTGGCTCTAAATTGCTGTGCATTTTAACAATATGCTCTTAAAAAGCTGTTTATGCCCCTTGGATATTTCACTCCACAAAGTAATCTTTACATATTTCCAACTTCAGGACACTTTAAAGGACTGCAATCAAATTTAATTAGCACATATGTCAAGTGTTCTCTGGCTTAAAGGAAAAATGCTATGAAAACAGAAAATTTTAACAGTGTCATACAAAGTTACATATATATCTATACAGATACATAGATGTATCATATACATACAAACATATGAAAGATACATGAAAGTAAATAGAAAAACCTTCAGAAAAATACAGCCTAGTGCATCATTTAAAATACATAATCATTCAAGTGACTCACTAGTTCTTTTAAAATAACTATAAAAATTTTGCAAAAATATAAAGGAATTACAGCAATTATTTCTTAAGGTCTCAGAAGACAGACGCCAACTTCTCATAATTAATATATGATTAAACAAAGAAACTTTTGTATTAATTAATAAATAAGCCTACATATAGCAATAATTGATTATTGATAGTCAGCTACGTTGTTGATAGTTGTCAACCACTAAGTAACTAAGAAAAACAGAAGTTGAGTACTGAAGTAGTAATTCCTTGTTTGAATATTCTAAAATAATTAAGCATTCCTCATATAATAGAGACATTAAAATGTAAAAGAAAACATACGGGAAGAGCTGCTTGTTAGCTCATTCCTTTAAAGATCCACAGAAATAAATATTTAGACATGTTTCCTGCAAGCTGCCAGGCAACGAGTTACTTTACGTTCCCATAATACAGCTGCCCAGCCTCAGCATCCAATTCACATCACACTTCAAAAAATGCACGAGAGAAGAGATTGGTCGTGTTTAGTAATGCCTAAACTAACATTTAAACTTTGATATTGGGATTAACCTTCTGTAGAATACACCACTTGCAATTTTTGCTTAATTAAAAAAATCTGTACAATTACCTCAGCACCTATCAAAACATGTCAGTTTGTCAGAAGGCATTCTCATCACACGAGCAGCTCTCGTAACAGGCATAAAATCAATTCAGAGCACACTATTTGTAATTATATTATATCTCTCTGGAAGGATACAGACATGAAAACTGTATTCAACCCCGCCATTTATTTACAGATGTATAATATGAAGGTTTGAACAGCAAAAAATACGTACATTACAATTGACAACTTCCCATACTATAAAATGTTCATAGAAAATGGTAAAAATGAAAAATAAAAATCAATTTTAGGGATGTGACTCTTCCTCACTTGAAGGAAAACAACCTGAACTGATCCTGAAAATTAAGCACATAATTGTGAAATCTTTGCTTCTGATTAATTCTCCAAAACCACCCACTCCTCTCCATTCTACTTTCAGTTATGTACGTCACTAATAACCTGAGTCCCCTTTACAATACATATAGGGTTTTAAGAGGGAATTAAAGCTATAAAAACTTATTCAGATGTAACTGTTAGGGTTTAATCTGGTTTCCTAACAAAAGGAACATCATAATTAGAACATTTTACACCTTTCTTCTTGATGGGTCCCAAAACACATACCAGTGGGTAACGAGCACAACTGCTCACGCTCTACAGAGGAAATTCTTGGGGGTTTAGATGAATAAATTCAAGCCCCCGGCTGGTTAACTGAAAGCATTCTTTTTCAGTAGTATATGGACTTGATTCACTGTGCACGAGAGACCTTTAACATTGATAGACTCTACTTAACACTAATATCAGTATTTGCTCTTGCTTTTAGGTGTTATTAAATATGCATTTCTCCAGGTCTGAGTCTGCCTTTGCAATTCTACGGTGAGGACTTCACAGAGGTATCATTGGGAAAAATCTACTTCTAAGGTATTATTTTCCAAAATTTATGTGCTAGGTGACTATTACTTTCCAATTGAACAGTAACTCCAGTTCCATATACAGTCTGAGAACATTTATAGATATGAAAATATGAAGAAATATACATGACTTACTGTCACTACTACTATACAAGGTTACACAGGGCCCCATTATCTCTTTCCAATACTGCTGCCATCGTTGCATGTTCACCTATCAAAACCTATATTATCATTTGAACTGTATGTTCGCGTAGTCACACAAGCAGCTCTGTATTTCTTCATGGTTCTGTGGAAACTGGTACATAAGAAAGAAGAATGTGCAATGGTTCTTTATCTTTAGACTTGAATGCTGGATGGTTGACTTCATCCACTACAGTATACCAAACTGGCACTCTCATTAGCTGTTTTCCCTTTCCAGAAGGGAAAGAATAAACACTCAGTTAGAAGTGTAAAAAAGAATGGGTTTATTGTTTTTCTGGTAGTTCCCCAAACAAGTTCCAAATTAAATGAAAGACACTGTATTTCAGCTTATTTTGAAATTAAGCATTATTTCAAATTGAATTGGGGGCTTTTGGGGGGTTTGTTGTTTGTTTGGGATTTTTTTAAATTACAAACACAAATGTTCCAATGCTTTCATTTTATTCTTCTGGTTTTTATTCTAGTTTCCTTTAATAACTTGTAGGTCCATTGCTCAATATCTGCCTAGTACGCTTTAAAAACTAAAATCTGTGCTGCCCAGAATTTCACTGAATTCAGGCCTCAATCACACACCTACATGTTGCTCAAGAGTCTTCTAGCATGCAGTACAATGACTAACACAAATTCAGGAAACATGGTAAACATCTTGAAATAAAAAACTAACAGTTTGTCCTGCTGTTTCCTAATTTGGCTGGTTTTGTGCTCTTAACTGATCAGAATCTTTCGTGACTGCAACTGGACAAGATGCCGGCGTCATCTTCTCAAACAAATCTGGCATTTCTTACCATGATGTACTGCATTGAAATTCAGTTGCAAGACATGGAAGTCTTATTAAAACCGATTCAGAACAAGATTAGTTCTGCATTGTTACAACACGAAAGCTATTCATAGGTCACTACCAAACATGGAGTTTTGACAAACTGTATTTGTCAACAAGGAAATTCCTCCTCCTCACCTCATCATCAGTATTCTTCATTTCACTCACTTTTACCCTCACTTTTTCTATTAAAGCAAAGTATTTCCAAACATTTTTCACTCAAGGCTTACCAAGCAATACAAAATATTAAAGGCATATATTTCCTGATAGCATAAGTCATACTTACTACCAAATACCACATTAACAGTTTTAACAAGAGTAAAAATTTCATCCTAATTACAAACCTTATCACAAATTATTTTTTAGAATCATAAAATCATATGAAAAAATCAGAAAATTAAAACTTCTCATGGCATAAAAGAACATAAACAAAAATCTTTTTAAAAATAGCAACAAAAAGCCCCTTTTACTTAATCTTTTTATAATGCCAAACTTTTTCAGAAGTTCAGCTATTCAATATACCTTACTTATATTCAATAAACCTTACAGCAAAAATACCTGGACATCTTCTTGTCCATTAGAAGATACTTTTGCAGTAGTAAATACATGGTGGCTTATAGTCTTCCTTCGATAAAGCTGATCGAGCTAAAGGGAAAAAAGGCACAAAAACTCTCCAGAATAATCTCCAGGAGTAATGAAATTTATCTATCCATGATCAGGATAAAGCAATACAAAATTATCATACTGACAAGCACCACTTTCTCCCCTTCTGTCTTTCATTATGCTGAAGTCATACTCAACTTTTCATTTTTCTACTACCTTTCTTTTCTGATCTGACTAATCTCATTCACAAGCCCCCTTTCTATCTATCATTTCATTTGGTACTGAGAAGTCAGCTCCACCTCAAATTGTCCTCTTCCATTACTCACCTGTTAAGTTTTCAAACCCCTTTATTCTTTTCTCACGTCCCCCACTACTATTGGCAGGGCTGCCTCTAGCCCTCTGCAAGACTGCCATCATTGTCCTTTAAACTCCTCTACATCACGATCCTGAAAAAAAACTGAGCAAGGTATGCTAATGCCAGAGTTTCCCATGCTGACTAATTTATATCTCCTCTGCCTGTGCCACTCTGTCATCCACTCTGACCTCCTGTCTTAAATATAAGAGCGATTTCTTCCAAGTGGAGGCTGACTTCTGGTTCTGGGTTTGTTGATGCTCATGCACTGGTATATGATTACAGCCCCTAAAATTCTGTTAGTATAAGTAAAAAATGACAAGCTTAGCATTTCCATAGACTACAACTGCACTTCTTTTTAAGAGTACTGCAACCTTGCAGCAAAGGTGGCTAATGGTATGTCAGGCTGCATTAGGAGCAGTGTTGCCAGCAGGTGGAGGGAGGTGATCCTTTCCATCTACTCAGCACTGGTGAGGCCACACCTGGAGTACTGGGTCCACTTCTGGGCTCATGGGGAACCTCAATGTGTACGAATACCTGAAGGGAGGGTGCAAAGAGGATAGAGCCAGGCCCTTTTCAGTGGTGTCCAGTGACAGGACCAAAGCTAACAGACACACTGAAACACAGGAGGTTCCCTCTGAATATAAAGAAACATGTTTTTACTGTGAGGGTGACCAAGCATTGGCACAAGCTCCCCAGGGAGGTTTTGGAGTCTCCATCCTTGGAGATATTCAAAGGCTGCCTGACATGGTCCTAGGCAACCAGCTCTAGGTGGCCCTGCTTGAGTAGGGGGGTTAGACCAAATTATGTCCAAGGGTCCCTTCCCACTTCAACCATTCTGTGATTCTGCTCTCTCAGCCCTGCTAACCAAAGATGCTTCTTTTATTTTCAGATTTGAGGCACCTTTCTTTTACGCTTAGTGACAAGCAGAGTCTCACTGTCTTTTTAAGGCATTAACCTGTTCCCTGACTGCACCACAAAAGCACATGGCAAAATTCCCATCTACTGCAATGGTAACACAAATAAACAGATTCCTGCCCCAGTCCTGGATTTAAGATTCCCTTATACTAAACACTGAATAATCCCAGGTGGGAGAAGAAAAAAAAAAAAAAAAAAAAAAAGACGAAAAAGTGCAGTGTTGTATTCTGCCTTTTGTACCTGTGCAAGAAGCATGAGTAGTTGCTAAATGATTCTTCAGTTGAGGCAGACCAAACTTGCATTTTACCCTTCCACCCAGCAATGGGAGAGGGAAGGTGTATACCACATACTGAGCTGGCATGGATTTTTTCATCCCTGCCTGGCAATCCCATTCCCCACCTGAACTTCAGACTGAGTAATTAGATGTCATACCTGATTTTGGGTTAATGCAAAAGACATCAACAACGCCCAAGTTTGAGGTCTACAGTTCAGAAAGCAATAGTAGGGAGGAAAGCATGCTAGTAAAGACATTAGGTTTTTATGTCAGTAATAAATCAGTCTCTTCGGAGATCAACTATTCAATAAATCAAGTCACAACTATCAACTTTGCATGTCAAGACGCATGTCCACATAGGCAACATTTCCTAATGTAAAACAATAATCCCAAACCTTCCCTGCCTGTTTTATTACTGACTAAGTAACTAGAATCCAGAGTAAATTATCTTTATAAACACAAGCTTAGAACATAGTCTTAGAACAGAAAAAAAACAGCAAGCAAAAGACCACACTGTCTGTTGGGATACAAAAAACTCCACAGAATCTGCTTGAAAAGTATTTCTATATATAGATCATCACCTAACACTCTATAACACATAACAAAGATTCTACAGTTTGGGATAGGGCAGACTCCTTACTGCACTGCTCTTCTCTGTTTGCTCAAAGCTGTAAGATTTCTACTAACATTCCAATCTCCATCATCTCTGTGTGTTATTCCTGAATGACCTTGGCTCTCATTGTATGTGTGGCAATACACTTCTTTGAAGCACATACTGCTGCATTGCACAAGACTACCCTAAAATATATCATGGAGGGAGACTAATAATGCCAGGAACACTGACTTATTCCTAACATTGCCAAACAATTTGAAATGCAACCTATTTATCACACGACCTGCTTCTCTCCTCAAACATATGCTGATAACATCATCTGAAGAATGAAATACTGTCACCATTTACACTTTACAGACGCAACTTTATTTAAACCATACTGTAATCACTACTTACTATGCTTTGTAACTAACTGTTCTATGTACTAGACTTTACAAAAAAAACTGAAAAATTTAGTAAATCACTTGTCTAGAAGCCCATATGTGAAAGTGGAACCTTAGCAGTTTGGGGTTTGTTGTTTTTTTAATGTTAGTCTGAACAGCTGAAGTTGACATGGTTTCTTTTCCCACCTTGTGGAAAAATGTTTTACTAGGACATCTCATGGAATAGTGCTGAAAACTGGCTCATATGGCATTACTCACAGAGGCATTACTCATCAAAAAATAGGAGTGGAGTACTCAGCCCTGATAGGCTAAAAACCAGGTAGAAACCTGGTAAAGAAAAGTATTTGAACACAAGTAGAGGAAGTCGGGGGAAAACAGCAGCTTTTGTGAAACAAAAACATCTGTAAAGTACAGACAGTTATAGGAAAAAAGGTACACACCGAATTTTCTTCTTCCTCTTCTAGTTCTCTCTGCTGTTCCTCATGTCGCTTTGCCTTTATCTCCATTGCTTCAGTGATCAGGTCCCTTAAAATTGAAACTGGCTTTGCATTCTTAATAAATGTATGCTAGAAAAAAAAAATCATTAAATTATATATCATTACAATAGTTACACTTCAGATGTAATTACAAGTAATATTCAATGCCACAGATTTCAGTGATAAATAGCATTTTACATTACATAATAATTAAAAGCTACACTAACACAATATACAATATCTTTTAGCTGCTTCATAACTAAGATTTTACTTAGAATCATAGAATCACTTTGGTTGGAAAAGACCTTTAAGATCCAGCAAGCCTTGGGAAATGTAATCATGTAACAACTGTTTTATAGTTAAGGATTTAATTGTCCAAAGGAAATGTGCAGTAAGTAGTAAAAAAATAGAGTGGTGATTGTCTGACATAGAAAAACAAACTTTTTCAGATAGTCAGTTACAGAATTTAATTAATCTTAACAAACTGACAGCATAAATTAGTGGCCATAAGCAGAGCAACTATGGCTGCCTACTTCAGCAAACCTGCACTTTATATGTCATAAAACATTTCTTGATCTATGATGCTGAAATGTGGAACAAGCAAAAAAATATGTTACTTTTAGCAGGAATATTAATTTTTAATTCAAGGCCATTTAGAACATCACTTCTTCCTTTAAGACAACATGTGCATAATACCATTTACATTCATTTTGCTGTCTAGTAAACGACTGCTGTTAGAAAAATTCTGATTTTTGCATCATTACATGCAAATACAATTTAGGCAAAACATAACTCTAAGCACCTCAGAAATGTATTATTAAGTATAAAATTAAAGTTCCACAAAGAACACAATTTATTAAGCCTACTGTCCCACACCTATTATCTATCTTCTCTCTTGATGTATTAATTCAATTACTCTCCTTTCATATCCATGATCTTTCCCCACAAGCAGTGCTTTCATTCCCATTCACGCACACCCACAGCACCTCCAGCTCCATCCCACATGCACCAAATTTCAGCTGGGGGAATTTGTACTTGTGCTGGACACAGCATTTGGTTTTCTGGCCAGCAAGCGTGTGGAAAGAGGAACACTGAAGTTTTCCCCCACCCCCCGCCCTTACTGGCACACATTCATGCAAGTCTCTTCTATCCAGCCGCCAGTATTCAGCTAACTATCAGCTAACTACACAAACTTCAAATCTCTAAAGTCTCGGGTACTGATTCATACATCATATGAAAATCTCTAACTTTCAATTTTTACTCTCCTTGCAGTCCACATTTTGGTGTTCTCACTGTGTGGAAAATAAAGTATTCCTATCACGACTTACGAATTTGATGATGTATTACTGTAAACTACTTTTCAAAATTTTTATGTTCACTGGAATTTAAATTTTAAAAGAGGGTATTGCTAGCTAGAGACAGAGTAACTCTAGCATGAGTATTTTACAGATGAAATTTCAGAAGATCAGATTATTATGTAGACTGATGAACAAAAAACATTAAGAATAATATTTAGCAATAGTATAAAAAAAAAAGTGTAAAAGAACACTAAATTATCCAAAAGTTTAATGAGTTAGGAATGAGGAAAGTAAAGGGAGCAAAGGACCTAGCAAAATTTTTTACTTCTGTCTCATTATCAAAGCCAGCTTCTTACAGGAAATTTTAGATTCCATTTCAATCATCATGGAACCCATTATAATTTTCTAGAGATCTTCCCCTCCCCTTTGACTACCTTCGTTCTTTGTTTTTCCTTATTTACTTGCAAGCTTGATAGGACAGCCCTGAAGGCAGTGGATAACACAAATACAGGGCCAAAGGAGAAAACTTTCTTCACATTTTGTCTCTCCCACACACACTAAACTGTGTGGCCCTGGCAAAATTTAGTCCATTTCACAAAGACTGAATCTTTCTTGATAGAACAGTCCCTCCTGTTTGATTTTTGAAGTTCTCTGAAATGTCTCTGCTTTATTTCTATCTCAGGACCAAAAAGATGCAACTGTTAAACTTCTGCAGCTACTGGAAGCTCAGGTCAGTGAGTGGGCGAAAACCTGGCACAGCCTGCCTGGCTCCATAGGGCCACACTGCCAACCACGGCTCGAATTTAAAAGTGCCTGCTTGGTATAACTCAGCCCAAGAACAAACTCGTTATACTGTCCATCTGCATCAGACCCTTCTAGGACACACAGCAACCTGTCTGCTTAATTTGACATGACCAGAAGGAATGACTGAATATACTCCATGGGTGGTCCACACTGAGGTGTAACCTAGGCTCAATTCCTTTACTTAACATTTGCCTAAATCCTGAGATCTATTGAGGGCCTCTAACCACAAAGCAAGGATCCGATTTTAACAGCAAGAACCAGCCCTAAACTATATAAAGAGCAATTAATTTTTAGAAGCGCCAAAGGAGAAATAAAATGGAGGTAGAAATACAGGAGCTGACAGAGAAAAGACCACAAAATGGGAAAGAAATAAGGCATGATAATAGTTAAAATGAGATTTGCCCTGAGAAATTTTCACAACAGTTCTGGTTTGAGACCAGAGGAAAAAAGCCATAAAACTTGCATTTCCTCAGTAACTTAAATACTGACCTGTAGCAGCTGTGTTGCTGTAGCTCTTTGTTCAGGATTTTTCACTAAGCATTTCTTCACAAAATCTGTGAATTCATCAGACCAGAGCTCTGGCTTCCGGAAGGTTGGAGGGGGATTTGTAGGAATCATAAAAATAGCCTAGATAAAAATCAAACAACAATAGCAAGTTTAAACAAAACATATCAGCACAGCACTGAAGCCAAGTAAACCAATTGCTTTATCCACCTTTCTTATCAGGCTAAGAATCTGGAAAACAAATTTTAAGTAAGTTAGGATTTCCACTCAGATCGAGATTCAGGAAGTAAATCCATCTGCTACCAATGTAGCTACTTCCCATTAGATTTTCTCTATTTAAACTGTACCCCATTAAGCACATCACTTGTTTTTTTATCTATTGTTGTTTATCAATCTCGAGAGATGGGTTTTGTTCTTTCAGAAATTCTTAGAAGTAGAAATGACAGCACTGCTTGTTTAAACAGACACATACAAAGTTGCTGTGAAAAGCCAAGTTCACCTTCTCCTCTCTTAAAAGCATTTAGTTTTATAGAATTGCTTAGGAAATTTGGTAGGACTACTATTTCCCTTTGCATTCGTAGTTCTTCAGAAGTAGTTTTAAAACTTGCTTTTCCTCGTAAGATTCAGAAATGTATGCTAAAAGACCTAGACAACACTAAAAGATGACAAATAATCAAGTAACTTGCCTACTAGCAGTGAGAATTTATTTGAAATTGAAAAGGCAGCATTTTACCGATATAACAGAAATTTCACACTGTTGAGAAGCATATGCAGACAAATTTTTCACAACTAGGAAAAAAGATTCATGCTACATAAAAAAATGTGTCCTACTTAAGATTATATATATTGTGCCATTTTCTTTGGTTTTTTCTTTTAGTTATAGATTTACACTTGGGGGGGGAAGCAGTACAATTGTGAGAGACTACTGTAAAATAATTGGAATAATAATTTTGAACTTCTGTATGTAATATCTCAAATGCATTCAGTATCATTGCTTAAGATTTACACAAGACAGCAACACACTATTCAGAGCTAGGTCTACTGGCAGAAACAATAAGCTATTATTTTCTTCTAAAACCAGGTTCAATTCAACCACATTTTCCAAAGTGAAAGGGAATAAAAGTTCATTTGTTTTTCTACAAAAACAAGCAAAAATACATACTCAGAAAAGGGGAAAAAATTGAAATGAGAGATTATGCACACCATTAACAAAGCAGAGGCACCAGAAGCTTCAGCCTGTGCTTGAAACATGGGGAGGCACGAAAGGGAACTTCCTGAGATTTTATCCAGAACATCTTAAGAAGTCTGACTGGCCTTGAAAGTTGGGTTAATTTGTTCAAACCCTCATTCTAAAATCCTTCTTATAAGCTGAAGAAAAGCAGAATACGTGCAAAATGATACAAAACATGTTTACTATCATTTTAATGAAAAATTATTTCAGTACTGAATAGTTTGCCTTCATTCAAATACTTAAACATTTACAAACCTCATTTCATTATCTGTACAAGAAATACAAGAAGAGACCTGGGAATTTTGTTTAATAAACATGTACGCTACAATAGCTTTGTATTTTTCAGTGGGCAGCTGTGCCAAACCACTATATGGACTCAGATAGGAAACATGGCACTCTAGTACCCTGTAGTTTGCCTTACCTACTTCACTGGTGATACAAGATTAATTGCCAGTACAAATGAAGTGCTTCTGGTATAAAGCAGTGGCTAACAAATGCAGCTGTTTCTGTCCTTGAAGGCAATGATCTCCTCCAAACTTTGAACTGATGACTTTTAATCTTATCTTTAGCTACTTTTCAATAGCTACTGCAGAGCAGGCTGTTAAAACACATAGCAGTAACAGAAGACTAGTAACTGCTGTTCATGTGGTGTCAAAATGTATACCTGCTGTTTGATAATAAACATTGACCCGTCTCTTGGCAGGTAAGCAAAGCCTAGTTTCAGAGTTCTGCTCAGCTCCAATGTTCTGGGAACAATATTGGCCTTTGCCAATTATTTTCATCAACTGCACAGCAATTGAGAACCACAGCAAAGAAGTGACTTCTTTATAATTCACACAGGACAATGAGAAGAAAGAGGGAATTCATGAATCATTCTTTTATGGCATGCAATAAAAGTCACAAAAGGAGATATTAAAGAGCTAGAGTCCTAAATCCACATTTATGCTTTGTATGTTTGTTGAAAATACCTACTTCAGAAACATATATATTTATTTAATGCTTAAACGGTAGGCTTTTTTAAATCTTGGTATGTGACATGAGCTATGTTAGCTGAGGAAAAAAGTTCAGATGTGTTTCTGTAATACTAGAAAACATATAGAAACTACTTACACCAAATATTTAGTCCAACTTGTTAATTATGCCATGCACTTGCTAGCATGTACCTCTCCCCCCCAGCTCTCAGCACCCCTTGCCATTAACTAGCCTGAAACACTGGTTTTCAATTCCATCTTCCGGCTCTACTTCCTCATTTTGGCTTGCGTATTTCTCCACATTAAAGTTAAGCTCCATCTCTCTTTCAAAACACTATGATTTAGCTTCCAAATCCTGTTTCCTTCCAAGAAGCTTGCAAAGCAATCACTGGAGAATTATAAAGCTAGTCCCAAACCTCCAGGAATAAAACCAAAATGCTTATCTGACAGGAATTTATTCCTCATTTTTGCTTCCATTTCTTGTCAAATACATCTCTTCTATCCTAAAAGAACTCTGTCCTACTTTAAAAGAAAACTAAGCTGTTTTAAGTCACTCTGTTCCACGGGTGCCAAGGGAAGCAGGAAACCTATGAGACTTGGTTTTTTCATGCTTCTTTCATCCTATCCTGTATTTCTCCACTCCCTGTGTTCTCCCAAACTATTACCTGTAGTAATTTTTTGCTTCCGCTCCACTTAGAATTTTCTCTAAGTTTCCCACAGCTATTGGTATTAGCTCAGCTCTCACAGTAGGGCTGATGGCTGTGCTCATACAGCCAGCATTAGGCAACTATTGCTTAAAAGAAAAACCAAAGCAAAGCAACAGCACCAGCTAGCACTGAACATAGGCCACCATCCATCCAATAATATGGGCTGAATCGGTCATAACAACTGCAGGAAGCATTAGGAGGGAACCGTTCAACAGAGGGGGCAGGCTCTGACATACTACGAAAGAGCTGGGATTAATTCTTCTCTCCCACATCAAATACACAGCCAAGGTGTTAGATCGTATGACTCTGTCTTCAGTTTAATTTCTTCAATCATTTTTTTTTTTTTTTAAAAAAAAAAAAAAAAAGTCGCTAAGCTGCCAGACTTCAGAACTCAGGCCTGAGGGACCACGGCAGCTTCATCAGTGTTTGTCTCCACCTGTCTGTAATAGAGAGCCCATTCCAAATTTGTCCTGAACTGGTCCTTCCACCTCTGAAGCTTGAGCCAACTCTCTACTTTGAATGATCTTTTAATACGTTGCTCTGAGGCAAGTCCTACACCCTGCAGTGAAACCAGAATCAAAGGCAAATTACAGTACGTACGCGACAAAGGATGGGGGGAGAAGATGCACCATCCAGGGCAGCCTTCAGTGGCCACCTCTGAATTGGGCACAGACAATCTAACACAGTTTCTACCATAACCATTGCCTGGAAGCACTTACCTGCCTGATAACCAGCAGTTATGGTTAAGGTGAATACTGGACTGAGGACTAGGTCTTAAATGAGAGCAGAACTGCGCAAGCCAGCAGATAATTTTCTTTTTAATATTTTTTTTAAGGGCCTAGCATTTTAAATGAAGTCCAGGCTGAAAACATTTATTTCATAAAGGTTCTTTTATGGACAGTTTTATTGGCATGAAAATGTAATCAGATGAATTAGGAAATGCCAAAAGAAAAATGAGACCCTCATATACTGTATTTGGAATTTCCTAATCAGAAAATCCTCACAGCTCATTCTTCCTGTCAGTCAAGGTAATAAATCTGTATTTCACACAGCCCACAAGCACATTAAATGATCAACAGCAATATGGTAGAGGTACTATGTTGTTGGGGTTTTAGCTTCTTCAATAATTTCTCTCTACTGCCTAGTTTAAATGACTTGTAATAAATAGCAGGAAATCAAAAGAATAACTTTTATTGTTATTATTTGCCCCATATCATGAATGCTACTAAAGGAGACAGCAAAGATTTTTATATTACAGCAATTTCATTATTTTCATGCTGTGAAGCTCCATTGCTACAATCTACAGAGAGAAACTTTTTTAGAAAGAGGGTGAGGATACAAGAAGTTCACACGCACTTTGTGACTCTATAGTTTCTGGCACCACAATTATACTGGTTAGTTTATCGATTGACTGCAGAAAACAAACTCCAAAATACATTTAAACTCAGTAACACATTTTAGAGTATGAAATCTTATTTAAGGCTGAGGGGGTTAAATATTGAATTCTGTAACATTTTATTAGCTTTGGAAACAAAGAATCAGCTGAAAGACACATTTCTCTCTTCTTTGTGATAGATGTCATAGAACTTCCCTCCCTTCTTGAATAGGCTTCAAACAGGCCATTGAAACTCCGCTAATTATTCAATTACACAATTCAGCAGCTGTCTAGAAATGAAACACCACCATGGACAAGAAGGGTGAGATACTGCCAGGTTCTACATTTGGTTTGCTTTGTGTTGTTTGGTTTTGTGGTGGTTTTTTTTTTTTTAAATTCAGAACTACAATATTCTTCCAACAAAGTTTTGTTCGTAACAATGAAAAACAAAGTTACTGAACAACACCTAGTGTGTTTAAAGACAAGGAAGGCGGTGTAAGATCTGCTTCAGTGTAGATAATAAATTTAATTGTCAGAAGCTGCCTAAAGATCACCAGCTTCTTCCTCCTATCTGCAAACACAGTAGTTCATGAAGATCTACTGCACTCACACTTTTTGTGCAGAATTACAAACAGGTCTGGTTCCACCAAGACATCTATCAGATACCTGATCCAAGGAGAGCCTCAGTATCCCCCAAGTTTGCTAAAACCCCTAACTGGAATCCGAATGGGCGACTCAAAATGTTGAAAAAGCTTAATTATGTTTCTGTGTGAAATATTACTTCTGTTGAAGCAGCCAATACAAATTTTTACTCTCTTTTCAGAAAGAAAAGAGTGGCT